GTATCACTCTCCCCTCGCCTCGATACACAGTAACTCGATAACACCTAAAAAACTAAAAAAAAAAAAGAAAAGAAAAGAAAAAGAAAAACAACAACAACAAAAACATTAGCATCAGTTCATCACCTTTTTTCTTCAGCCAGTAAGGCTTCTTAGGGGTCAGTCCTAAACAAATAACATGTATACTATGGTCGTCCCTCTGTATCTGTGAGAAAGCTGGTTCCAAGACTCCCAAGGATACCAGCATCTGCGGATGCTCAAGTCCCTTAGTAAAATGGCAGTATCTGCATACAACTTGTGCACACCCTCACCTATACTTCAAATCATCTCTAGGTTACTTATAATACCTAATACAATATAAATGCTATGCAAATAGTTGTAAATACAATGTAAATGCTATGTAAATAGTTGATGGCCCACAGCAAATTCAAGTTCTGCATTTTGGAACTTTCTGGAAATTTTTTTTATTTGCGTATTTCCAATCAGGGCTTTGCTGAATCCATGGATGTGGAACCTGTGGATACGGAGGTCCAACTGTGTTACATACGAGCAACCTGAGATAAGGGTCAAATGGACTGAGTGCGTATAAAGGGGGAGAAATAGAGGATAATAAAATCCTCACCCCTGATAAAAAGTCAACACATAGGCTGTTTAAAATGAAAAAGGAAAAAATTCAGTACAAGCATTTGTTTTATAAAAATAGAGGTATTAAGTCACAGTGAAAACAGCTAGAAATGTTAAAGCTGGTCACTTCCAGGAAACAGATCTGGTGGTACTATGTGACTTTAACTGCATGCATGTTTTATTTTCATAAAAAGTAGGAGGGAATGTTATAGCTCAGTGGTAGAGTACATGAATAGCATGCACAAGGTCCTGTTCAATCCCCAATACCTCCATTAAGAAAATAAACAAACCTAATTACCTCTACAATAAAAAAAACAAATTTTAAGTAAATTAATAGTAAAAGAGAATTGAATTAAATATTTTAAAATGTGAGTACTCTTATAAGAATGCTCATTAAGGCCTACTGACTTTCTGACATATTTTTAACATCAGACAATAAGCAACTACAAAGCCTCAAGCCCACAAACCAATATTCTAATTTGAACAAATCAAGAGTCACACTATGATGTGAAATCTGAATACATTATTTCAAACTCATCAATGAATAAGGAAAGTATTTAACAACTTCAGAATATAATCAGAAAAAAAAAACTACCTCATCATCTTCATCTGAGAGTTCTTGTCCTTCTTCACTAAGGCTATAATCTTCTGAATCAAGGGACTCAACTTCAAATTCTACACTGAATTGATCTGAAACTGAATCCTGATCGAACCAGTCACCTGAATGTTCACTTACACCAGCATCAAGATCCTAAAATCAAAGAGAAAAAAAAGTGACTTAACATACATTACCTGTTGCCCTGTAACAGCTTTCTAATGCATCCCTGTGAACCTAATCCCCCCTCAGTTCCATCCTGCACACTGACACTAGGTTAAGCTTCTGGGTTATGACTAGATTAATATTTTGTCTGTTTAAGATCCCATTACATAAAAGGAAAGGCCAAATCCCTTTGGCATTCAAGGTACATACAGTATGACTACACTAACACCTTCATATTATCTCCAACCAGATGCTCCCCAACCCCCAAAACTACAAACAATTAGCTAGATCCAGATTGTTCCCTAAAGCAAACTTGGCACCTCAACTTCCACACTTTCCCTCTCTAACTGATGTAACTCAGCAGTTTAAAAATTCTGCTCACCCTTTTTTGCCAAAGCCTTTGTCAACACTATAACTAGAACAGCTCTTCTACTTTTAATTATCTTTACTACTTATGACATTATTGAGCATTATGTATTTCCACACGCAAATTATGCAAACATAATTCTGCATGCATTTTTTAATCTGAATTATACATACTTCAAGAGTTAAGATCATGTCTTAATTATCTTTATATCTTCAGACTGGTAGAATGCTAATAGATACAACACATACAATATAATGATTTACATTTTTTAATTAACTGAGAATAATTTCTTTGGAAGAGCTTTCAGATATAATTTTTTAAATTTATTTTTAAAATTCTGTATTTGCTCATGTGATTCCATATTTTAAAACTCTGATAATAGCATAAGAACCTAAGAAGACCTTCAGTCCCATAATATTTGCCATCAGTGGCTAAGAGTGGCCACATACACAGAAGCAGAAGGCTAAAACTAGAAAAAAATACATTGGTCTAATAGTCAAGATACATACATTCTTATTCTGGATTTGCCATTAAGTAGCTTTTAACCTTAGACATACTTAGCTTTAAAGACCACAGCTATTTCATCTATGAAAGAGTTTGGATTAAATAATCTCTAAAATTTCCAACATTTATAAAAACAAAAACAAAGTATATTATCTTATAACCACTGAGGTCAAAAGACTTTTTTACAGTGATGTTAGGAAAGTAGTAGTAAAAGCAACGTTCATCAAACTGCAGTTGTTAATTCCTAAAAAGGGAACAATCAAATGAAAACACAAGTCAAGCTAGAATATAACGTCTCTAATAAAGTAACCTAACAAACTGGATGCTTCAATTAACTAGTCTAGTGTACTATGTTTAGAATAAGGGGGTAAAAATCACAATAAAAATTAAGTCTCAGAAGGCATCTTCTATGGCAGGAGTCAACAAACTGAGGCTCATCATCAAACTACTTTTATAAACAGAATTTTACTGAACTCAGCCACGCCCATCTGTTTACTTGTTGTCTATGGCTGCTTTTGCCTTACAGCCTAGAGTTAAGTAGCTGGAACAGAGACTGTATGGCCTGCAAAGCCCAAAATAATTACTATCCCTTTACAGAAAAAGCCTGCCCACCCCTATTCTGAAGTACTATGAAGAAAGCAGTATTAAAAGTAGTTTTCAAAACTTTTAGCTAATGTTCAAAAAAGAATAACCTAGGAACTTTTGAATACTGCATATCTAAATAAACAAACCTAATTACCTCCCCCCATTAAAAAATGAAAATTAAAAAAAAAAGCATCAGACAAGCTTGATCTGGAAAGATCTTAAAATCCCTAGTTTTTCTAAATTCCAATTGTGACGATTATTAGTTATGTGATCTTAAACAAGTTATTTGAAATTCCCAAGTCTTAGTTTTCCATCTGTAAATGGAAATATCATGGCTGGTATAGAGCCTAGAATATAGCCTTAGTTCCCCAATTTATTAAGCCAAAAAGAAAGACAAGGTGGGAGGCAAATGCACTTTCCTTTAACTCCCTTCACTGACTGGTGAATGACAATATCAAGTAGTAAGTGTAATATATTTATGTGAGGTAAGCTAAAAAGAAGGGAAAAAATTGGCCCTGCCAAAAAGTTTTCACAACTAGGGACTCTGCCTGAAATACAACAGATTTTTAACAGAGAGGATTTTCAGAAAAGAGTGCATGATAGGACTAACAAAAAGAAAGTAGAAATACCCTCTACATTGCTCTGATAACAAGGCAGTGTCCCAGGTAGAAAGAGTAAGGACTTTTAATATCATTTAGTTACAATTCTAAAATAACCTTAACAAAGACTATAAGTTTAATGGGGCACAATAGTTGTATTTAAACAATTTATAAGGAATAAAATTATCCAAACATGAAGTTCTTGACACATCAAGTTTTCTTTGATTAGATTCAATTTTTAGATCACACATAAACTTTGCTCTCAAGAACTTTTATTTTTTTCATAGCATTTACTGACTGCCTTAATTACCTGTTTGACTACTCTATCTCCCAATGAAGGCAGGGACCATATCTACCCTGACTACCACTGTGTCTCCAATGCCAAATGGAACCTGGCATAGAAAATACACAAATACTACTGAAAGAAGAACTTGCTCTTGGAGGATCTCATCAAGCCACCTAGAGGGCTACACAAGTAACAGCTCTATTAAATACTAACTCTAGAGGGCACATCTGTATCCATAAAAACCACTGCTTTGGAAGAAAAAGATGTAAAGATACTATAAGTACAAAAATACAAAAAAAGAATATGGTTACTATCACAATTTGTTCAGTCCTTTACATTTTCTAGAGAACTATAAAAATGATCACTAATATCCAGAATAATGGCCATGAGACACTGCCATATCACAAATGATTCCAATTTTAGTAACATTTTAAACACAAATGTTTAATGACAAGAAAACATTCATTTGTCAAGCATTCTTGTTAGCAAAAACTTCTTTACAAAACTTCCTTCAATGTTAACTCTTAAGAACTTTAATGATGGGCTAATACTTGGGAATTCTGTATCAATTATCAAAATGTACTGATAGTCTACCATCATCCATGCAGTAATATATCCATAATTTTATGGCCTTAGTAAACAGACCTTCCCTGATGTCTAGATCTACATATGGCAAATGTGAGGATCAGGCTACGCTCACTTACTTGCAGATAGCTGTAATAAGATATTTTTACTCTAAATAGTCAGGATAAAACTGCCTTAGAATCCTAAGACAGCTAACCAACTAAATTTTCATTTCTGTCTCCTTATCCTTTAAATAGTAAAACTTCTAGATTTTCAGGCTACTCTACACACTCCAATTTATTTGAATTTACTATTGGTGCAGTGACCCATAAAGATTCTCCAATATATACAGTGACATTAATAACTATTAATATTAGTACTAATTTCACCAACACACTCCAGTGCAACTCCACTATCTTCTGGAGATAACCATCCCTGTGGTTAGGGGCAGAGAAGAACCACAGTTTCATCTGAAAGAAAAATTTATAAAGTGTATAGCAGCAGTCACATACCATATGTGTGCATTCTATCTGAATGTTTGTTAGGACTGCCAGAACCAGAATTTAAAAATAAGTCTTGTTTTATTTAAAATGAGATTACCGGATTCGATGGAGTCCCTGTAGATTCACTGCTACTGCTTCTTTCGCAACATATCTCCCTTATTACACACAGAGCAAGGCTTTCATCAAAGGAAAGGGAAATGTTATCAGATTTGTGGCGCTTTCTTTGTCGTTCACCAGGTAATTCATCTGAATTTTCTTCTGAATATGTAAAGAAAAACAAGTTAATTAAATTGCTATACTGTAATTTAGAAATTGAGCTGTCTTGAGTACCTATTTGTATTAAAACTGTTTCAATGAAATTAAACAGCGAAAACTAGTGCATTACTGTTTCACTAAGTCAGTACTTTTACTGGATCTGAGAGTTATAGCAGAACACTTCATTTTTAAAAGCTTTTTAAAATATGGAAGTGACTATCTGTATGTATATTCATGACTGGGACACTGTGCTGTACACCAGAAATTGACACAATGTAACTGATGGTACTTCAATTAAAAAAAAAATAAAGTTCAGAAATAAGCTTAAAAAAATTAAGTCACGATTAATACAGTACATCTAGAGCTTTTATTAGCCAGTCTAGCATTTTTCTGTCAAAGGCAAACTTTAGGATGTAAGATTTCACTTTTTATCCCCTGGAAAGAACCCAAAACATTTAATTTACTACAAGGTATACTTAATGTTTCCATTTCCTCAGTATCCAGTATTTTCAACAAGAATCAAAACCAGTAAAACTGATTCATTTTATTTTAAATAAGAAATTATCTCTGACAAAGTCAGAATGTTACCAAATCTGTCAGGAACATAAATTAGAGTCCTACCTTATACCAGACTATTTATAAAAATTAATTCCAGGTGTACTAAAGAACCAAACACAAAGAACAAAACCACCCAACTACTTATATAAGAGAATATACTGGGGTGGGGAAAGCATGATGTAACACTGCAAAGCCCTCAAGAAAAGACTAACAAGATGAGGTTATGTTAATTAAGGTTTACCTGGCAAAATAAAATACTACAAAGTTAAAAGGCAAATGGCAGACTAAAACAAAGTATCTGTAACATCATAACAGAAAATGATTAATATCCATTTTATACGAAGTCCTCCTACCAATCAAGCAAAAGACAAACTTGACTTTAAAAAGTCAAAGATATGAAAGAGCAATTTATAAAATACAAATGACCAATAAACATGAAAAAGTGGCTTACCTCCTAGTGATTAAGGAAATGTAAGTTGAAATGAAACACAAGTTTTCACCCATGAGAATGACAAAAATTAAAATGAGAGAGTGTCTTGGAGATTTGGCAGATTTTTATACACTATTACTAGAAATGTAAAATAGTGTAATATTTTACCTACACAAATACACATACAAATACCTGCATAATCATTTAAGGATATATGTGCAAGGGTGCACACTGCAGTCTTAAATAATATTTAAGTATCTAACAGGGTTATGAGATTAAGTGAAATGTGCCTCCATATGCCTGAAACAGTTCTAACTCACACCTTTGCTCACTCCATTTCCCTCTCTTGATCTTTCAGATCAGAAGTCATCTCTTCTTCCTCTGAATTCCCAAAACACTATAAAAGTGTTTATAAGTGATGTAAGCTCCTCTACTTTAAGTAATTTTGTATCTTAAGTAAATATTAAGTAAATTTATATCTCCACAACAAGATTCCAAGTTCTTGATCTAAGTTCTTAATCATGTTTGTATTCTTTATAAGAAGAGGTGATCTTGGTTGAAAGATGTGGGCTAGAAGCCTAAAACCATGCTGTCGATCCCTATTTTTTAACTCTTAAAAATAATATTTGGGGCTTTTTTCTGATAATTATTACTCACTACAGAAATCTCTAAAACACAGGGGAAAAAATTTTTAATGTAAATCATCTACAATGTTACCATTCAGATAACTACTATTAAATTTTGGTGTGATAATTTTCCAATTTTTATTTTAAAAATTTCCTTTTTAAAAAAACATTTAAATCACACTATATGTACAATTTGGGGTTGTTTTCTTACATGTTCTTTTACATTACTTTTAATGACTGAAGAATATGGTGTCCACGATACAGGTTCATATGCTCTTCATCATTATTGAACCATTTAGTCTGCAAATCTGAGCACGTGCTTCCCAACGGGCACAGTGCTAGACAGTGGGTATACAAAAATGAAGTCAGCCTTCATCCCTACCACCAGAGGAAGCTTACATTTAAACATCAAGGCAACCAAAATATAATCACTTACAAGCTATAATGAGTGCTTATGAAGGAAACAAACAAGGTGCTAAGGAAAGGAACAAGAAGGGATTTACTTTTCTGGGTGGTTAAGAACAGCTTCTCTGAGAAAGGAATACTTGAGCAAAAATAGAAAAATGAGAAGCTGGTCTTGCAAGGCTGAGGTAGGCAGAAGAACTCCTGGCAGGAAAAAACTGTGCAAACAGCCTTAAAGCAGGGAAGAGTTTTGACTTGTTCATGGAACCAATCAGTGCAGCTGAAATACAATGAAGGTGGGGCAAAAGGCCAAAAACCAGATTAAAGGTAGACCAGGGCCTTGTAAACCAAGGTAAAAGTATGGCTTTTATTTGAAGGTCAATGGTAAATGACCAAAATAGCTAAGTGGGGAAGTGAACAATCCAACTTATCTTTTACAGTAACTTTTGGTACTGTGGTGAAAGACAGAAAGACCAAGTAAGCAGAAACAGAGGAAAAACCAGAAGCTGCTGCAGTGATCCAGGTAAGAGGTGACAACAGCCTGGACTAGAGTGATGATATTCTCCACCATCATGTTTTCAACTATGAATAATGCTACAATTAATATCTCTACATTAAATGTTTTAATTTCTGATTACATTCTCAGGCTAGATTCCTAGAAATGGAGTTACTGAGATAATGGTAAGAACTCCAAGGCTTTTTATAATTCATAAAGGTTAACCAATTTATATCAACTGATACACCAATGGTCTATCAGTGCCAACACACACAAGTAAAAAATCTTATCTTCACCAATTTGAAAGACCACAAAAACACTGCTGCATTTTTTATCTGTAAAATTTAATCATTAAACTACATCCCCCTCCACATATTTGTCATTTGTATTTACTCTGAAAAACTTTTTTTGGCAATTTGGATTTTTAGTATTTTTCTTATTAATTTTGGGAAACTTTTTATATAACAAGGATATTAACACTATCACATTTAAAGTGAATCTATTTCAATACGTTGGAATTTTTTTATTTATCTTTTAAACTCATTTGGTCTAGTCCCAGGTATTTAATAAGACATCCTCTGCCCCTGCTGCCCTTTGCCTTCAAGTACAAAATTCTTACTTTAGGTTTATCTATGTCACTGATCTGCTGAACTCTTTTTTTCACCTGAATCATTGTTTTAGTTATGATGATTTTCATCAGCCAATAGCCTCCTTCTCTACTCTTTTCTGTTAAAAATGCTCTCAGCTATTTTATCTTGTTTTCTATTTACTTCCTCTGTTGTTAAACTCACTGATAAAATATTTGTTTTTAATAAATCATAACTGCTAAGGTGACAAAGAATAATGACAAAAAAGAGTTTGTATTTTTGTCCTCTATTATTTTCAATAGCAGAGAGCTGGCTAACTATAAAATCCATCAGGACACACACAGTAAACTGTACCTGCTACAGTCAACCAGAGAAGTGTTACTAAGAAAGCAATTTTTAAGCCAATTACATTATATAAAAATAAGAAACTCAGAAAGTCATTCATCCAAACCAAAAAAGCACAAGTTCATTAAACCTAGATGCACTGATTTCAATAAAGAATGAACACTGAAAAGCTGTCTGAAAGTGCCAATTAAATATTCACATATACCTGTCTCACTAACAGTTCGCCTTCTAGATGAGGTAGATGGTCTGGAAACCAAATCTGAAGATGAAGGTTTCTCTTCCTGTAGCTCTTGCACAAGGTCCTAAGCATTCAACGGAGAAAAAAGAAAACCCAAAAACTTAACTTACAACACCATGAAACTAAAAACTCATTGTTTTAAATAACCTTTCCAATTTTCAAGAAACATTATGGTAGAATGAGTTCATCTCAAGATTACCTTTTGATCACTACCACCTTCGGGGTGACACCTTCTTTCACTCACAGGTGTGCCTGAATCCGATGGTTCTGACAGAAAATAAAAACAAAGAATCACAAACTAGGAAAGCAAGGGCTACTCAATAGATGTTAGTCCAGGACCAACTCCTTATACAATTTAACCTTTTAACAAAAACTGAACGTGTAGTCTCCCAAGTGCCATTTTGTGCTAGATACTAAAGATATAAATAGATAACTCAATTTATCTTTTACAGTCCCTTCTGGTACTGTGGGAAAGGACAGAAAGACCAACTAAGTAGAAACAGAAAAAAATCAGAAGCTGCTGCAGTGGTTCAGGTAAGAGAAGACAACGGCCTGGACTAGAATGATGACATTCTCTAGCATCATATATGTTTTCAACTATGAATAATGCTACAATTAATATTTCTACTTTAAATGTTTTAATTTCTGATTATATCCTTAGGCTAGATAACTTTAGAAGATAAAAATAATCATAAAATACAATAAACACACTAAAAAAAGTATTGTAAGAGAAGTCAATGGAGAAAATGGAGCAATGATTATATGGTAAAGGCAGGGCAAGGTCTGAGTAACAAGGAATCAGGAAGTTTCATAGCAGAATATGTGGAAGCAGGACTGGGAAAGGTCATTCTAGCCTGAGGGAAGGAACACTGTGTGAAAAAGCATCCAGAAGTGAACTACCAGCGTGTTGCAGGGAACTACAGGTGCTTCATTATTATGTGAATGTAAGCAGGATCATAAAAGATCCTGTGTATCCTGCTAAACAGCACAAGGCTGTCAAAAAGCAGCACTCATACCATCAATCTCATATCACTGCATCCTTCCCAGCTAATTTCATAGTCCTCCCTAAAGCATTGGTCAGCTGCTTACCATTAAAAAGGTTTAATCTAAGAGAGAAAATTGTTCATAGTAAGTATTTTATCCAAATGAAATCCCAGTAAGGAACCCTTAAATAGTCATTTTAAGCAGGAGTGAGAACTCTGCCAAAATAGAAGAAAAAGAGAACAGAAGCAGGGAAACCAGTATTAGTAACTGCAATAACACAAATGAAAAGCATTAAAGCCTAAACTAAGACATGGAAAAAAGATCGATTCCAGAGAAATTTAAAAGGTAAAAACCAGTAAGAACCTGGTGTATCTAATACACAAGGCAAGGGAAAAATGAGTCAAGGAGGAGTCCAAGATTTTACTCTGGATGGATAAATGGGTAGTACCAGTCACCAAGAGAGAAACTTCAGATGATGAACAGATATGGATGAAAAGATAATGAACTAAACCTATCTTCCAGGGAGATAGGTTTAATTTGTACTTGGAGGTACAGACATGGAGCTCAAAAGTCAAAATTTCAGGGAGGGTAATAGCTGAGTGGTAGAGTGTGTGCTTAATATGCATGAGGTCCTGGGTTCAATCTCCAGTACCTCGAGTTAAAAAAAAAAAAAAAGTCAAAATTTCAGATAAGGGATATACACAATCACCAAATATTATAATCAAATACCCTTTACTAGTCCCTTGGAAACATCTTCATCTTAACAATGAAGTTAGGCCTGAGCATTAACGTTTTGAAATTATATGAATTATCGTAATAGTTTATTTCTTCTTTATATTATGGATAAGGTAAGTTACTGATTTTTAAGCTGTCACATAGACAGGTTATATTTTGTGTCAGTATGATATATGAGATGTTACAAAACAGACGTAATAAAAAGGAAGCACTAGGTGTGACAAGATCGAGAACCCTGATATAGGTGTTCTGAAGTTAACATTAAACTAAAACCTGAAACAAACTCAAAATGGAAATAACATAAGAGATCAACAGGTTACTAGTTCATTGATTTTCCATTATTTAAATGAATCAATTAATACATCAGGGATTAATACTTCAGAAAACTGAAAGTACTATCAGATACTGTAGTTTACTTTACTTGCCTTCATTTGATTTCATAAAGCGCTTTGAAAAACAAAATGCCAAGTCACCAGCCTAATAGTTACTTCTACTCTAGGATAAGATGGTGATGCTCTTTCTGGGTCTTAAATCCTAACTTTGGAAAAGTATTCAAATACTGTATTGTGTCATACAAAACGCAAACCTGAACAGGACACAGGAAATAGATATGTAGTCAAGTTAGTGTAACAAAACAATGTAACAATAAAATCAAAAAACGGAATTAATAGGAGCACAAAGAAGTCGTCAGTTTGCTAAGCTTCTGAGAACAGTTCTTAATTGTAGTTCAAGGATGGACTTTAAGAAGCCTGTGGTATACTGGAGCCAGCTCCTACAGCACTTCCAGGCAGACTGTGTACATCTCCTCCCAATTCCATGTTTGCAGATGAGAATGGTCATGGTGAGAGTATTTACACCATAGAAACCAGTAACCACCAATCAAGGCTCTTACCCTGGAGAGTGGGTTGTTAAACATTTATCAGCATTATCACTGTACATGCTTAGGCGTATTTTTCTGGAGTAAGAACCTAGTGCTTTTATCAGATTATCAAAGGGATATGTGACTCAAAAATAACCAGTTAAGAACTGCAAGTCAAAAGGAAGGGAAGTTAAATGTCACTCACCTGAACAAACTAGTTAAAGCTTTGTCTATTATAAAAAAAACAAAGACCCCATCCATTCAAATGGTCCTACCAAGGTATCTGTGTTACTTTCCAAAGCCTTTGAATACATGTTTCAAGGTTTGATCATTTCTTTACTGTGCAGAAGCTTTTGAAACTACTTACCTTTCAAAACAAATTCCAACCTAATATCCCAAGACTTAAATGGATGTAACAGGATATTTAACTTCACATACCGCAAATCTGCATAAAAACCTTAGTATTCTGTTGTTTTAGTTCATATGTATCTCTTCCTGTTAAAATTTATCACACCCTTACTGTAATTAAATATACAATTAGAGCAACTTTTGAAGAGAATCACAATTATAAAATGACTGCACATCCATAAAACATCTTAGAAATATTTTTATAGTATATATTGATGGCATTCAAAATTAACTTACCCTGCTGATTGACTACTACCAAGTTTCTGTAGATCATTGTATATATTTTCCTTGTGAAAGAAAAAGATACACATTTTAAAATAAGTGTATTAAGCTAGACTTAACAAGCCTTTCAAATGTATATAAGCATAAACTATCCCATTACAACCCAAATTTTAAATCACTACATTCAAATATTGACAAGCTTCTAGACCCCAAAAAGCACCATAATTAGTTGCACAATGATTATATACAGCCGTTATTAACAACCACTAAGTCTCCCTAGCTCAAAGATAAAATATCTCCATCTCCTGAAACATGCCATGTTTAGACTTTACCAAAAGTCCTCAGAGAACTGGTGTGAACACAGGAGACAGGCTGTTTTCAAAAGAAAAGAAATTATCTAGCTCTGTACATAGCAGTAAACTGCCTAAAAAAGTATTAGGTTATGCAAAACCCTCTATATAGGAGCTTGATTATAGTTTTGACTTTCATTAAACTTGGACTAATCATCTAATGGATTTCCTTTCTTGATCTGAAAATTTATTAAAAGATAGGCTGTATTAAATGACTATACTGCTCTGAGTACCAGTCACTATTCTAGAAACTGGGGAAAACAAAGAATGAAATAAAAACAAATCCCTGCCCTCATGGAGCATAAGGAAACAGTTGACTTACACCAGTATTCACTGAAGTCATGGTACATATTTCTTTCTATTAACTAGTGATTTTAGAGAATGTTTATTGGTCACAAGGTATCATTCCTACTTCTCAAGGTTAAGAGGAAAATGTCAATCCCAACTAAATTTTTTTCACCCTTGGGACAGATATATAGCTCCTAAACTCACAAAAATCAATATTCCTATTCATATCCTTTCTCCTAGTCAGTAGCTTCCCCAGTGTTTAATCTCTCAACATAATAGAATTTAAATCAAAGATAATTTTAAATTTGTGCTTTCAGTCCCAGAAACTACACCTCCAAACATAAAGATTCAATACCAGATGGTGCAAAATCATCAATATTATTTCTTAAATTTATAAAATTAAATCTTATATCCCAAGGCCAATTAAAATATAAATATTAAATAGAAATGGTTTGTCAATGGAAAGATGCTTCTCAGTTAAATTAAGAAGCAGGATGAAATTAAATATAGTATGTTCACAACTGGGTTAAAACACATCGGTGCAAAATATAAAAATGATGAGTTAAAAATACCTTTTGATGACAAACCATAGTCATTTTTTCCTTATTCTTAGCTTTCTGACTTTTCCTAATGTTCAATAATGAATATATACTTACAATAATGAAGTTGTTTTAATGTTATAAATATCCTACCTAGTAATCATCTTTTAGCTATATTATTGAGCATTAAGTATTAGTGGAATCTAGTTGTTTCATGTGAAAAGTATTCATCACATTTATTAAGGTACACTACAAACAGACTAACTGTGCTAAAGCAAATGAAACAAGGAATTCCAAATGTAAAGTAAGAATGAGTGAAAAAAGACTCTTCAGTTCCCAGCAGAATAATTCTAGAAATGTCATCTGGGTTAAATTCAGCTGATTAAGTGCCACAATGGTATGTAACAAAGAAAATTATCTCCAAAGTAACTAGGGCTCAAATTTCAGCCTCTACCACAGACTATTATAAAGATTGTCTTTGAAAGTGACTACAATAATATTTTAATATGCAGTAACTGTAGCTAATATTTAAATGCTTTCCATGTATCAAACACTATGTATTTTACATAATGCCTCTTTAAACCTCCATATAAGGTACTTATACTATTCCTACTTCACATTCAGAGGAAACTTAAGGTTTAGAGGGTAAGTGAATTTACCCAGTCGCACAGCTAGTAAATGACTAAGTCTCAAACCCAGGTTTGTAAGATTCCAGAACTCAAGTTTCTCAAGCTATGTGCTATATCACTAAGAAATAAAATTTCAGCATCTTTTATATATAGACATTATAACTTTTCTCTGACAGAAGGGAGTGAATATGAAAGTGAGCTCAAATGTTTGCCCAGGTGGCATTTTACAACAGACGAAGGAACTTACCTGTGCTCTTTCACAGAGAAGCTTGGCACTCCAAACAAATCCCCTAGAAGATCATTTGAACAATACACAATATGCTGTTGTTTTTCATCATATAATCGTTTAGTCATAATATACTGGCCAAGATAAAATATAACCTGAAATAGAAATATGACTTTTGAGCACTAAACAAAATTAAATGTTAGTTTCAAATACATTTAGTAATATCTCATTTATCTGAAGAGGGTTAAACCACCACCAACCACACTGATAACCATCTAGAGTAAAAACCATTCTTAAAAAAAAAAAAAAAAAGAATTGACTACCATTCTGTACTCTTTAAAACAAAAAAAAAGCTGACTTTATGTCTTTTCCTTTAATCTGATGGAAGCAGAGATACTGCTTCTGATTTCCTTACATAAAGCTTAAAATGTGTCTTTTGGGCGAGGGGAGGGCAGACTAACTCTGCTGAGATACCTAAGTACTACTTATTAGGAAGAAAGGAAAAGGCAGCAAAATGCAGCACCATTAATAACAATAAAAAGTTGCAGAATCAAAAACATCAACTAAAACACAGCAGTGACCTGGAGTCATTCAGTAAATAGTCCCGGACACGATATACCTCAACTGCCTCTGAGGTCATCACAGATGAGAAACGCAAGATAATGACCAATTACATCTACACAACAGTTTGGGAGAATTCAGTAAACGAAATAAGCCCTCAAAGAGATCAATGTATAAAAGACTACCTCAAGAGAAGCCAGATGGACATCTGAGTGACCTGCCCTGACCACGCCCTGAAGGATGGCTCAGAGCACCTTTTGGTTGACAGCAAAGCCAACCACGTATCACCATCTGACTCACACCTACCTTGGCAAGGAGGGGATAACTATCTAGGATTTAAAGTGAATACAATATGTATGTATATGCATGACTGGGACACTGTGCTGTACACCAGAAATTGACACATTGTAACTAACAGTACTTCAATTAAAAAAAAAGGCGAATACATTAAAAAAAAAAAAGAGAGATCAATATAATCTATACAATAAATAATCAAAATGATGGACCCTGAATCATGTAGATACATTTAATTTATATTGTGTGCTCCATTAAGACAAAGTAGGCAAAATATTTTAAGACATTTACATACAAACCTACTAATAACCACCTAAATACTTAAGGTGTTATATAGTTTACAATGTACTTTTATAAGCACTGTCTCGTTCTTCTGACATTTCATAGAATTGTTAACAACATATGAGAAATAAGGAAATTGACCTGGTCTTCTGACTCCTAGTATAGTGTTCTTTCTACTAGCCCATACCAGCTTTCATCACTATCTCATATACCACAGAACAAAGATTCTACAACTGAACACTGTATTAGATAATATATACATTACTGTTACATGGTTTGGCACAAACATTCTAAGTCTTTGTGATGGACTTGATCAACTTTCTCCTTATTCCTATCTACTACTAAACTTATACTTTTTTGTTTTCTTAACCAATTATATAATGATAATATAAAGTCAAACCCAAGAGTCCTAAAAACATCATTTACCTCGACACTTCCCTGTAAGTACTGCCTATAGACTTAACTGGCTAAGCAGGCTTCAGACTTAAACGAATACATGACTATGGGTTGAAGATGGGAGACAGTGGGAAAGGAAGAAGGAAGAGAACCTAGACTCCTACCAAACAACCTGTAAGGAAATTTCCAAGTGTGGCTATAAAGGAAAAGGGTCTGGAATCTCTTCCTGTCCACTACCCTGATGTAGGTAAGGTACTTCAGTGTTTCAAGCAATCTGAGCCCCATAAACTAAGTGCGAGAGATAGGGAAGAGGCACATCTCATTCACATCGAAATTTTGCCCAAGATGGCCCTGTCTCTTACGGAAAAGCATGCTTCTGTGCACAGATTTAAAGCTAGGGAACAATACATTGAAATGTGTCCATTAAACAGAACATATGTTCATGAATCAGCTCACCTCTATCCCAGAAAGATCAGTATACTGTACTCATGTATCTCTATTGCAGAAGTTCTTAACCTGGGATCCATGGATGCCCAAGAAGTCCTTGGATAGAATTCAGGGGGTCCATTAATTTGGATGGAAAAAAATTTCTATGTTTATTTTCACTAACTTTTAACTAAAATTTAGCTTTTCCTTCAATTATGAATATAGGAAACAAATCACCAAGTATTAATGATAACTGTGACTGTCACCAATAAAAATGGCAAGCATTTTTCCTACCATACTATGCTTAAACATCTCAAAATACCAGTTATACTCCTCACTACTTCCAAATTATTTATTAGATCTGCTGAATCTTATTAATGTGTTCGTAAAAAAGCACATGTATCACAAACTTGTTTACTATTTTGTTAACTATATTTTAATGTAAGTTTTCCCACTGTAATATTATATATTTTATTTCATGCATTTAAAACATGATTCTAAGAAAGAATTATCAGTCTAAGATTTTACCAGTGCACCAAGCGGGTTCACAGCACAAAAAGGCTAAGAACTCCTATAGAGCTTCCCTTTGAGTTCCTGGCTGAGAAATGAAATTCAAATGTAAATAGAATTTTCAGCTTCAAATTATAGTCCATATGACCTCAATACTTCATATTGCTGAAAGTTTCTCTTTATGGCTGATTTCTCCCCATGGTATATGTAACTAGTAAGACATTAAGTTATCTTAACTCTTAGTACAGCTTACCTCTTTCATAGTGTAAGTGTCTTTCTGTGCACCAACAGACCTTAACAACTTCAAAAGCAATGGCTTTGGTCTAACCTGTAAAGAACAAAGAGTTGCTATTATGCTTCCAAATTATTCCAGAACTATAAGCCCTGTAGGAAACTTACTCATGAAGAACTTCAATAAAGGTAGCAAACACAATGTATAACAATCTCACAAGGTTAGACCTCAGAAAATAAGTCATAATGTTTTCACTAAATGTCACAGACTATGTAAACTCAATACCACAGACTGTCAAGGGTGTTTGGGAAAAAAATGCTGGGATCTAATTATGCAACTAATCAGAAGCCTCAAGCACTGTCAGCTGCAATAACTGACACTACCCATGTTAAGGCAGTGAAAATTAACCTTTTTCCTCCAGCTATTTCTATCATCTGCTTATTATCTTAGAAATGCAACCGTAAATGGAATATCCCAGTGATCTTACTATAAGCTAAGATACAAAATTTGAGAGAAAAGAATAAATCTTAAAGGTAGGCCCTTTTATCAGTCTTTTCTTTCTACAAATTGGGTTCCTGAAGGCTGGGGAACTTTTAACTAACCCAAGCTGACAAGGATAATTAAGAGCAGATCTGAGACTGCAGCTCACATCCCTCAACTGCAAGCCAGCATCTTCTTCCTACTGTAATATCGATGCTGCCTTTCAGTTGGTCTACATTCCAAATATCTACTTGACAAACATTTATGGAGCCTCTGCCAAGCACCACACAGTGCTGGATATTGTACACACAAAACAATGACAAAAAAGACATATGACCTGTATTCAGGGAGTCAGCCAACTATATCAGGGATCATTTTTTTTGTGTGTAAAGAGCCAGAGAGTAAATGTTTTAAAGCTTTTCTTGCCAGATGGTATGACTCAGAAGCATAAATATGTAAACCAATGGGTCTGGCTGCACTGAAATAAAACGTCATTTACAAAAGTAGGCAGCAGGCCAAATTTGGCCCATAGGCTGTAGTTTGCCTGAATCTGATCAAGAGGCCTTGCAAGTTGTATTGAGAAAATAACCGGCAAGGGGGCAGGGATGTAATGTGTTTATGCTCTGTCTCCCTATCTGTTGCTGTTATCAAAATCTTCAAAACTCAAGTATCTTTACAGCTTGCCACCTCTACAGAAACTGGGGCCTCTACATCTCCCTTTAATACACTCCTGCCCTGTCTAACTTTGAACCCAGTTTGGAATGTAACTGTCAAAACTAGATTTTCAAGAACTACCTACTTCCAGCTAATTAACAATATTATTTAATAACTGAAAAACTTAAAATACACAATAAATGTAGTACTGAATCACTAATTGTTCTGCTCACACTTTTTTCCTTATATGCTTACATATGCACTTTACTTTCAGGCTATTTAAAGAATGAGTTCTCCTAGAAAACAAAAAGTTACTCCCCCTTCAAATTCTATATATGCTGTATTAACTTCCAACTACGTAAAACTCTGCACTGGGAAGCCATTAGCTTTTTATTAGGACATAAAAGACACACATTAATAAGAAAACTACTATGAAAGACAATACCATTCTTAATCTTACATTTAAGAACAAAAAGATAAATTTCAGATGAGAGAAGATCCAGATGTTAAATAAAAAACACTAGAAGAAAATATAGGAATATCTTAGGATGAGAGAGTTCTTCCAAAGCATAGTAGAAATTCAAAAAAGTCAACAAAAGTTAAATTAGACTCTATAAAAATGTTCTCAATGAGAAAAAGACCACATAGAGTTAATTGTAACATTCGTAAATGCTAAGAATTAAATACACTTGAAACAGAGTACTACAAATTGTTGAGAAAAATACAATAAGCCTAAAAGAAAAGTATACAAATAAGACCAAAGAAATCCTAGAAGAAAAATAATTTAACGAATGACAAGATGCGAGACCTCACTAGAGACTGGGCAAATATAAATTTACCCCCCCACCAAAAAAGGGGGCAAAATAATAAAGTGATAATACTCAGTTCTGGCAGAGGGGAAAACTGTTACAATCTTCTTAGCATGTTATCAGTAAGCAATCAAACCTGTATAGTTCAGGACCCAGGAGTTCTACTTCTATCAAGTTTTTCTTACAGAAATATTCACAACACTTGTGTTAGGATACATGTGCAAAGCAGCACTATTAGTGATAATCAAAAACTAAAGGCAATTTGAAACAAAAATCTATCAGTAAAGGCACACATTTTAAAAATAGTATACTAATGCTGTGGATTATCATGCAGTTGTTAAAGAATACTGTAGATTTTATTTATTGACACAGTATTTGCTAAATACCTCAAGTATAATCCTATTGTAGTAAAACAAAAAGGGCAACAACATGGATTAAAATTCACACGTTGGGTATTTATGTAGGTATGCACAAAGGAAAATATCTAAAAAGGAAGCAAGGTCAAAAGAGAAGATTGGAATTTTCAGCTTTTACTTTATACTTTTTCTGTAATGCCTAAAATCTTTAAAACAAGCATGAATTATTTCCGTGACTTTCCGAAACCATTTTAAAAAGTTAAAATACTGACGGGTCAAAACAGGGGGAAAAAATCAGTCACATAATAAATAAAACTTCAGCATCCAAGTTTAAAAATGTAATGAAGCTGACTTTTAAATACAGAGTGGTAAAAAGCCAAGGAAGTAAGAATTCTTACAGTTAACTTTTGCTCCACAGTTACACCCGAGTGGCAGAATTTAAGCTACACACAATTTCATTTAAAGAGCCATGCTTTAATTGGGGTCTACAGAATTTAGCTGATCACCTTATAAAATAAATTCTTTTTAAAGTTACACTGGAGACAAAAATACCAACCAGGGTCTCTTGTTCCGAAGGTGGAATCTGTGAGGTGCTTACAGCACCCTCAGTAGACACAGACATGTTGGTATTGCACATTTGCCTAAGAGTAGGAAAAAACAAAAAAACACACGATAAAAACTTGAAATGAAACACCTGTGAAAAAAGACAAAAATTATACAAAAGGAGATAAATTACGCCTTTATTAAACTCATTAGCAAGTGGGTCCTTACCTTGTTCAGCATAAAGCAAGTGCTATACGTCGGTGACCAGAGGTATCTCTAACAAGTGGATACAGCTGGCGAAAGGCATGGTTTAAATAGCCCCAGCTAGAGACAAGTCAGGGCTTAGCTCCTTCTTCTGCAGACTCAGAACGTGTCCGAACTTGACCAGCCCAACAGGAAAAGCTGAGTCAACCTGCCCAGAGAACCAGCCCAATCTTGCCCGGACTCAACACTCGGTTCCTACAAGCTACCGAACAAGCACCTGTCATGATTTCGAACTCCGGCCAGGAGGCTGCCCGCGGCCCCGCGGCGCCCCCAGCGCACGTGACCTTTATCCCGGACGCCCGCGGAGCCCCCTCCCAACGCCCAGCCCCCTGGGAGCGCGGGCCCAGAACCCCGCCCTCTCCCAGGCGGCAACCACCTCGCTTCTTTCCAACACAATCTCACGAACTCACGTGCCCGACGCCCCCCACCACGAAAAGCACAAAGGCCGCGTGCGGGGCAGACGCTGAGGACGAGAGCGAGCGGGGAGACCCAAGTCACAGAGCAAACCCAGAACAGCCCACGCACTTCCTGGACGATACCTGCTGGTCACTGAGCGGGATTTTCCGCCCCTGGAGTCTGGGTGGGTCCCCGAGGCTCCCCAGTTCCCTTCACGGCACGCGCGGAAGCCCGACGCCCTGGGCCTCGGCGACCATTCCACTCGAGAGGCCCAGGCCACTCGGGCGCTCGAACGTACTAGGTCTGGAGAAGAAAGAGGCTCCTGGCGGCAAAAGCAGCAGGACCTCCGTCAGAGGGGTTAGGGTACCCCTCAAGCTAGGCTTCTTGCTCCATTTTCCTTTCAGTCACACCGGGCCGCACAGGCCCCAGAAGGTGCCGAGCTGGCCGAAGTGCGCCGGATGCGCGCCCCCTATCGTGCGAATGCAGCGGACCGGAAGCCGCGGCCCATCCGGGCTTTTGTGCGCGCGCGCGCGCGCCCAGGCCCCACCGCCTCCGCCAATTGGGGGACGGGGCGGGGCCCGGCCGCCTCGACGGAGTGGGCGGGGTCTGAGCTCGGCGCGCGGACCGGCAGGTGGGAACTGGGCGCTGGGCTAGCCCGCCCGGCTGGCTTGCGCCAAACATTCTCTGGGGTAGATTTGTTTATCCCTTGTGCTATTTTTGTATTTTGTGTGTTTACACCTCCCGACCGCGGTGGAAACGGCAGGCAGATGCGAATGGAAGTGCCGCTATCGAAAAAGAAACCAAAATGAACAGCTGTGCGATATATTAAGCCCGCACTGCCAGCCGCTGTCTTTGTATACAAATGAGTTATTTCAAGACTTTTTTAAAAAGTACGATTAAAAATAGCACAGTATGGGCTTGCTCAGGGATGCATACAATATTCTAGTTGGAGGAATAAAAAGCTGGTGGTTACCGTTAGAGTGGGGGGGATAGAGAAAACCGGTTACTTTACATTTTGTGCCTTAAGAATGTTTGGGTTTGGGGGGAGGGTCTAGCTCAGTGGTAGAGTGCATGCTTAGCATGCACAAGGTCCTGGGTTCAATCCTCACTACCTCCTTTAAAAATAAGTAAGTAAATAAATAAATAAATCTTAAAAAAAAAGAATGTTTGGGTTAGTTTATGTGATGTATGCCGTCATTCCCATTAAAAATACCTGTTTATATATTAGGCACACAATGTTGAAAGACTCACCTACTTGCCTCTTTTGGCACGTTGGCGTAACAGTCTCAAAAATGAGCCAGGACACGAGAATTGAGTTGGTTCAAGCCAAAAAACGCAGTCATTGTAAAGAACAGCTTCTTGCTTGGACAGGAAGCAATTAGTTCCTTGTGAACAAGGAACTTTTTAATAAAGTTATACCTTTCCCTTCTCCCATGCTAGCCTGCTAGAAAGGAATCTTTCTTAAACAGTGGTCACTCAATTGATTTAATTGCTAAGTTAAATCATTGGGGATTTGGTTTGGTTTTTTAAAAAAAAAAGTCTCATCTTTATCAGATCAAATATAGTAAGGTTTCTGGTTGTAAAAGCGTATGCTTGACACCGGATAAAAGAAGATCTCATGAGATGCAGAAAATAGCATAAACATATATTATACAAATTGGCATCCGTTGATGCCAAGTGAAGGGACAGGTATGTGCTAGAAGTGTTCAAAGGATTGCTGGCTCAGTGAATACCCAGGCAGTTCACAAAGGCCTCAGAGAGGATCAGAAACATCTGGTGCCTTGAAGGATGGTAAGATTTTAAATTAAGACAAAGGAGAATATTCTGGGCACAAGAAAAATACTACCCCAAAGTCCTGAAGTGAAAATGTAAAGGTAAGATTTTAAATTAAGACAAAGGAGAATATTCTGGGCACAAGAAAAATACTACCCCAAAGTCCTGAAGTGAAAATGTAAAGGACTGTTTGAGAAACAGTAAGTTTGGCTTGCATAAAAACCAAGAAAAAGTTTTAAGAATTTGAAGGTTCCTTAAATGCTAAGCAAAGGAATTTGGGCTTTGAACAGGATAAGCAGTGGACAACGGAAGAATGGAAACAGGTGAATTGCTTAAAGCTGTTTTTAACAGTACCACCATGAGCAAATTCATGAGATGTCTGGCCAGCCTCCTCTAAACCAACTTTCCCTCTTCTCTTTGGCTTTTCTCTTTGGTTTAAAAATCTTAGCCGAATTAGTAGACCAGAAACAAAGGGCAGAACTGATAGGATTAGTCCTTTTCTAATGAAACCAGAAAAGAAGAGAAGGAATGAAGGAAGAAGCAATAGGATTTAGAGTGTTGGGGAGAGAGACCTATGAGGCTAGCAATCTACCTTTAGAGGAATTGATACTGAAAATTTACTGAGTGTACCAAGCACTACCCAAGGCCCCTGGTGGTGAACAAGATAGTCATACTCCCTGTTGTCACACAGCCTAGCAGGATGACTCTAAATTTCCACCCAAAGAGAATAATGACACTACTGAGCAAAAGTCTGGAGGAAATGAAAATTTGAGTTGTTGAGTTTTGGATGACGCACCACAGAATGAAGAGTTCTGTGGTAGAAAATGTGGAACTGAAGCTCTGGCTGGAGACAGAGCTATCAGGCAATGGTTGGCTCCACCCTTAAGACCTGATAAGTTCCTCAAAGGAGATAAGGGACTAAGACTGGGCTGAGGCAGCAGGGGAACAGACAGCAAAGAGTGACCAGAAGGCTGGCCAACACAGGGCTATGTGGTGATGTCTCAAAAACCAGAGGAGCCAAGCAATGGTACTGTATACTGCAGGAGTCAAAGAAAATGAGGAATGAGAAGACATACTGGATCTGCTCACTTGCAAAACAGCCCCTGTTGTGTGACTTTACCATTAAGGAAAAAATGCAGACCAGTTGATGCTGTTCTCCTGCATTCCACGGTTGTCCTGTGTCGCTCTGCCCTCGCTGTGCTTACTGGAGGCTTCTCTAGGGGCACCTTCTGGTAAATTTTTAGTAGCATTGTTCTTGACCCCCTCCTGTGTTCCAAGAGATGGAGATAACTTGAGCATCTTTATATTCTTTGGCACCTAAACTCAGCAAGCATATCCACAATGTGTACACTTTTATCACGGTCCAAGTGCCACTTCATACTTGCATTTATTAATGACAACTGACAAATTGTTAAAGAATGGTGAAAAACAGACAAGATTTCTCTCAGAAACAATGTTTAAAATGCTGAAAGTTGAGCAGTATTTATGACATCATCTAAAATTACAGTAGTTCAAATTCCACATATATTTGCAAACATCTGGAGGTAAACAGTGTTAAAGAGCAAAATCCCAGCAAATGGTGGCTATAAATACAGGCTTTTTATTTCTATTTTGAGAATTCATAACTAACTTTCTATTTTAACAGGATTAAAATATGCAGAAATAGTCACAAAACAATTAATATCCAATGTAACCACTGCCTAGAATTCACATTTGTCATTTCTGCTTCAGATATATTTTTAAAATGGAACATCAAAAAAAGTTGATACATACACATAATGATATATATTCAGTAAAAAAAAACCCTATTCTCATTCTTAATCATTCCCCTCCCTCCCTTGAGGCAATCATAATTATCAACTTGATGTTTACCCTGTTTTTATACATTGATGATAAACGCATGAATCCATTAACAGTAAGTACAATAGCTTATATTCATACACGTAAAAGGAATCGCTGGGCCACAGGGTATACACTGCATGGTAACTTTTAACATCTAACAGGGACAGCTGTCCTTATCTTTCTCAGTATTGTTTTGGCTCTTCTGGAATGTTACTTTTATAATCTGCTTGTCTAATTCATAAAAAAGAATCTTATTGGGATTTTGATCCAAATTGCATTGACTTAGTAGATTACATTGACGTCTTTTCAGTATGGATTCTTCCCAGTTGAGAACATGACCTATTCTGTTTTTTTCAGACCTCCCTTTATATCCTTTAATAATGTCTTGTCATTTTCTCCTTAAGCCTCTGGTATCTTTGGCTATTTTTTTTTGAGGTAATTTATAATTTTTATTGCTATCGTAAATTATATCTTTCTTCTATTTTATTTCTTGTTTTAATTTTGTTTTTTATTGAAGTGTAGTTGATTTATAATGTTGCAGGCATACAGCAAAGTGATTCAGTTATATATACACATACTTTTTTTCAGATGCTTTTCCATTTCTTCTATTTTATTTCTAGTTGGTTATTTCTGACATATGGGACAATGATTGATTTTTGTGTTTTGATCTTATAGCCAGCAATACTGCTGCATTTTGTTATTATAAATACAACTAGTTTTTCAGTAGATGCTCTTGAACTTTGTATGTAAGTAACAGTATCATCTGTAAAAATCACCAATTTATCTCTTCCTTTCTTATATCTTACTTCATTTTCTTGTCTTAAAAGCATTAGAACAATTATTACTTTGGGGAATAGTAGTAGTAATACTGGGCATCCTTGTCTTATTCCTGACTTTAATAAAAATGCTTTTAAAGTTTGATATTTGCTGTAAGTTTTAGGTAGATGCCCTGTATTACATTATAAAAGTTTCCTTCTATTCACAGGTTTTTAAATTTTTTTAAATATGAATAAGTGTTCAGTTTTACCTAATGCTTATTTATGCATCTTCAGACGGTCATGTGGTTTTTTTCCCCTTAATCTGTTAATACAGTAAGCTAACAGTGATAGATTTGCTAAAATTAATCCATGCTTGTATTTACTCATATAAACTCTACTTAGTTATAATGCATCATGTAACAAATCACCAGAAACGTAGCAGCTTAAAGTAGCACAAATGTATTAGCTTACAGATCTATGTATTAGAAGTCTGAGTGAGCTCAACTGGGTTTCTTTGCTCTAGGTCTCACAAAGTCAAACTCAAGACTGGCCATTTTGGGATCTTATATGGAGGCTCTAGAAAAGAACATCCTCTCTAGTTCATTCAGATTATTGGCCAAATTCGGCTTGTGGTGATTGTAGAACTGTGACCCCCTTTACCTTGATGACTGTCAGTGGGGACAGCTCACAGCCCCTGACGGCTACCTGCCTTCCTTAGCATGTGGTTCCCTTTATCCTCAAGCCACCCCCCCAGCAATAGTGTGTTGAGTTCCCCTTACACAGGCATACCTTGTTTTCTTGTGATTTCCTTTATTGCACCTCACAGATTGCTTTTTTTTTTTAACAAATTAAAGGTTTGTGGCAATCCTGCATTAAGCAAGTCTATCAGCACCATTTTTCCAACAGCATTTGCTCATTTCATATCTCTGCATCACATTTTTGTAATTCTCACAATATTTTAAACTTTTTCATCATTATTATATTTATTATGGTGATGTGTGATTCACGATCTTTGATGTTACTATTGTCATTGTTTTGTGACACCATAAATTGTCCCTATATACAACAGTGAACTTAACTGAGAAATGTTGTATGTGTTCCGACTGCTCCACTGACTGGCCATTCCCCCATCTCTCCCTCCTTGGATGTCGCTATTCCCTGAGACACAACAATATTGAGTAGAAGCTGCAGCAAGTTATCCAGAAGATCTAGCTAAGATAATTAATGAAACAACAGATTTTCAGTATAGACAAAACAGCCTTCTACTGGAAGAAGATGCCAGCTAGGACTTTCATAACTAGAGGCAAAGAGTTAATGTCTGGCTACAAAGCTTCAAAGGACAGGCTGATTCTCTTGTTAAAAGCTAATGCAGCTGGTAACTTTAAGTTGAAGCCAGTGCTCATTTACCATTCTGAAATTTGCCACCTGAAAATCCTAGAGCCTTTAAGAATTATACTAATCTGCTCTGCCTGTGCTCTATAAATGGACCAACAAAGGTTGGACGACAGCACATCTGCTGACAACGTGGTTTACTGAATACTTTCAGCCCACTGTTGACACTTGGTGCTCAGAAAAAAAAGATTCCTTTCAAAACATTATTGCTTATTGCCAATGTACCTGGTCACCCAAGAGCTTTGGTGGAGATGTGCATACTGTGAAATTCATGTTGTTTTCATGCCTGCTAATGCAACATTCATTCTGCAGCCCAAAGATCAAGGAGTAATTTTGACTTTCAAGTCTTATTATTTAAGAAATACAATTATTTAAGAGATATGCCTGTGCTTTGAAACTCTGACTCACCCCTCTGCTACCAACCAGAGAAAACTGAGTTTAAAGGCTCCTGTGATTAGAACTGGCCAACTCAGACAATCTCACTTTTGCCATGTGATGGAACATAATCATGGCCCTGCTGACACCTTGATTTCAGACTTCTGGCCTCCAGAACTGTGAGATAATAAATCACTGTTGTTCTGAGAACACCCAGTTTGTGTCCCTTTGCTAAGACAGCCATTGCAAACTAATACAGTTAGTTTCTGATGTATACGGCTGAGAAGCGTGACGTATCATTTTTAAATTTTTGTTTGTTTTTGTTTTGGGGGGAGATAATTAAGTTTATTTACTTATATATGTGTATTTATATACTTATATATATGTGTATTTATATACTTATATATATGTGTATATATGTAAATTTTTTTAAAGGAGGTCCTGAGGATTGAACCCAGGACCTCATGCATGCTAAGCAGCACTCTACCACTGAGCTATACCCTCCCCCATGACTAATATAATTTTGTATGGAGTGAATAATCATGATACAACCCAGAACTGGAAAATCTGGTTTAGGTGGAGATGGTGTCTTTGAATGGCAGGTCCACATGGACTTCAAATTAAAATCTCACAAAAGCAGTACTGCCTTGCAGGACTGTAGAGTAGTCTGGTGACATTAAAATCTTCTTCCCAAGGCAAGTTGGGGTGGTTGTTGCCACGCGCAGCAGATGCCTTGAGTGGGTCAGAATTCCTGCCCTGGAGGTCGGCAGTCTCTACCTGATCACTCAGTTTGATAGTGTTGCTGGTCGCTGAGGTGTTTGGCATTGTCTGACCACTACAACTGGCTCTAGGTGTTTCAGCTGTTGATCTTCAAAGCGTTTAAAAAGGCACTGTGCCTTCTCCATAATGAGGAGCTGCCTCACAGGTTGATGGATCTTCAAGTTTTTTCTAATGCGGCCAAATCTAGAAGGGGAAGCCAATTTCTATTTGTCTGTCTCCTAATTTGGGTCACCCTAATACTTGTTTTCTTCTTTTTTAAATGCCATGCATGATATTCTTTGTTTCTTTATTGTGAGCCAACACTATCACTTACATAGATTACACACATTTTGGATCAAACTGTTCCCTAGAATCCAGAATAAACAGCAGCAAGTTACACCAAAGCAGCACAAATGACTCACCTTGCAGCATGCTGATAACTCAGGCTACTCTCATTGGCTGAGAAACTTGGCAGCATAGTACACTTACTCTCATTGGCTGGAGCAAACAGGACACCTGCCTTCCCAGCTCTAATTGGCTGTGACCATACCCATTGCTGAAAACATGAGGGGAAATAGATCTGTAAACAATATTGTAATGGATTATTATATAAGCAGTGGGGTTGCACATTTAACTCACTACAACTCAAACAGGCAAATTAAAGAGAACACTTTAATTTTGTCTACAGTTATTCCTGAGGCTGTCCTTGGAGTTTATAATAGGAAAGCTAATTAAATGTCCAACATTATTTAAATCTGGTTGGAGCTGATCATTTAAACAGTGTCCAGTCTCTTTTAAATAGAAATGTTCATAGGTGCTTGTAGTATTTCACAATTTATCTTAAGAATTTCAATGATTAGTCATGCAATAAATGCTCTGGTTTTAAAAAATAAATAGGTAGGTAGATAGATAAATAGAAATGCTCATCTGTCTTTTAGATTTCCCTAACCCCATGCATTTCTAAATTGGTATTCTAGTATTAGGGTGGCGGGGTGTAGGGGGAGCAGATCCTGGACATGAGCTGTTCTGTGTCAGTTCTGTTCAAACCCACAGCTTTCCAGCCTGATGATATCCTTTGTCGATGTGGTTACTCCAGTCCCTTAGCTTCTGACACCACAATCTAGAGGTTAAAGCCCCATCCCTACTAAAAATGTCCCATCCCATTCTCTTGCTTTGTGAGCTCCTTGGCTTTAGCACTCACTCACTATTTAGTTTGGGGGGGGTCCCTTTATATTTCCGGTACAAAAGAAAACAGCTCTTTCTTGATTTCAAGTTATGCTATATGTATATATATATACGTATTTAAATTTTATCTGATGTTTTATGCAGCATTTCTAAATGTTTAAAGGGAGTAAACATATTTCATCTACATCAGTTATACCAGAAAATGGACTTAATTTTTACAAGTAAAATTAAAATAAATAATACGTAAATTATTCTTGTTAAAAAAGGGGGGCAACATTATAGATAATTTCCCTTCTAGTCCCATCCACATCCCTGTCCCTCACAGAAATACATCTGTAACTTGCTTTACTACCCAATTGCATGCCTTGGACAGCTATCCAGGTTGGCACAGATATACCACACCCTTTAACGGCCTCAAACGACTGCATATACAGTTTGAGTGTACACTTTATTAGCCATTCTTCTATGCATGCTTCAGTGTTTCCTGTTTTTCCCTATGAGGAACTCTGCAATGGACATGTTTGTACATGTTTTCTTGAGCACAAGTGCCAGTGTTTTTTTCAAAAATAGACACTAATATCTGGAATTGCTGGCTTATAGCATACATGTATTTCTATTTTATTCAATATTGCCAAACTGCCTTTCAGTGTGGCTGTATCAGTTCTATATTCCCATTAGCAGTGTGTATATGTTTTCCCACACCCATGTAATACATTTTAGTAATGGATCTAATTTGTGCAATATAATAGTTGAAAATTATCTCAATATTCTAAATGTATTCCATTTTTCTTTTTTAAAGTTAAAAAACAACTTTTTAATGGAGGTACTGGGGATTAAACCCAGGGCCTCGTGCACGCAAAGCATGCACTCTACCACTGAGCTATACCCTCCCTCCTAAATAAAATAAATTTTTCTTGATAGTGGTGAGGTTCAGTTTCTACTTATCTGTTCAGTGGCCAACTGTATTTCTTTTTCTATAGATTACTTATCCTATGATTTTTCCATGTTCCCACTGGTTTATTTAAGTTTTCCTTTTTTGTAGGAGTATCTTATGGATCTAAATGTTTATCTTTTCTGTGTTATGCGCAGGGCAAATACTGTCTCCTAATCTGTTGCTTGTCTTTTAACTTTGCTTAAACATGGTGCACATGTCATTCAAGGCCTTTTGTAGTAGAGAACTTTTACATGCTGTTCAAATTTATCAGTCTTAATGCAGTCAAACATATCAATTTATTCCTTTACATCTTTTTTATTTAGTGTCTGGTTTAAAAGGACTTCTAGTTTACCAAATTCATAAACATAGTCTCCTATATTTTTTTCTGCTATATTTAGGATTTTGTTTCTTTGGATCTTTAGTCCCTCTGGAATTTATTTTCATGAATGGTGTCAAGTGGGGAATCTAACTTTATCAAAACAAACGATCAACTGTCCTAAAGCCACTTGCTGAATTGTTAGTACTTCGCCCAATGAAACGTGTTTCCACTCTTACTATACATATCACTCTAACTCAGGTGAACTACCCATCTGCAGGCATAACCCACACTAAGGAAAGGCTTACACATTGGCTGCTGAAACTAGGCAAATACCCTAGACTTCTCTAAGTGAGCAGAATGTGTCCTTAAAATGAGAATTGTAACTTAGTTATTTTAGAGCCTGTCTGGAATAATACAGTTGTCCCTCGGTATCCATGGGGGATTGGTTTCAGGATCCCCCATACCAAATCCATGGATGTTCAAGTCCCTTATATAAAATGGTGTGGTATTTGCCTATAATCTATGTACATCCTCCCATATAACATTAAATCATCTTTAGATTACTTAAAATACTTAACATAATATAAATGCTGGATAAATAGTTGTAAATACAATCTGAATGCTATGTAAAGAGTTGCCAGTGCACGGCAAATTCAAGTTTTGCTTTTTGGAGCTGTCTGGGTTATTTTTTCTCTTAATATTTCCCATCTGAGGTTGGCTGAATCCTCAGATGCAGAACCTGTGAATACAGAGGGTCAACTGTATATATTAAAGGAGGATTATATTTATATACAGGAAGTATATAAAAAGGAGAAATAAATGTAAGAATTTGACCAATTCACTAGATAATAAAATCTTCCAGGCCTTTCCATGGCTTGAAAGAAATAGCTTTTTACATTGGTCTACTCCCTTATCTCTGATTATATGCCCATTAAAAAACTTTGGGCTAGCTTATCCAGTTTCATAGGCACCTTGATACAAAAGGAAGGGATGCCTATAAAAAAGGAGTATTTCAGGTAAATCTATCTTTCTGAACTAAAACATTGATATTCTGGTGTACAAATCGGTCCCTTAAGAGACGTTACTTGTGTAGTTTAAGCAGCTCTAGCCATACAGTTTTCTGAAATTCTAATTCTGTCATTTTATCTCCAGTGCCTGCATAGTGTCTGGTGTATAGAAAGTACTCAGTACATTTGTTGAGCGAATGGATGGCTAAAACCATCACTGTTACTTGGTTAGGTTAACATTTGAAATGCTATGAATCACCGTCATTTTCCCTGCATAGTATTACTGTCTGTGTAAATGATTTATTTCTGCAAAAGGATACAGGCCTCCAGCTTGAAGTAGAGCTAATCACATTCAAGGCAGACCACAAATACCTCATTCATTTGTTCACTCATTCAGTACAAATTCACTAAGTACCTATTAACCATGGTGCTAAGCTCTGGGAAATACAGTAACAATAACTTTTTTTTTTAAGACGACAGTTCTTGTATTTAACCAGAGTGGAAGGTAGAGGGGGTTGCAACTGGAAGCAGATGGAAGCTCTAAGCAGCAGGTTGAAAACGGTGGGGAAACCATGCTACTCGCACTCAGAGATGAGAGAAGACTAGTTAGTGATCATTAACTGGAGAGGTCCATGGACCTCCAGGGTCCCAGTCATCCAACTGAGGTTCATGTGTCAAGTATAAAGTTTAAAAACCCAGGGCTTTCCAGAAGCCTGGGGAATCACACAGATTAGTGGACCAAGAACTGTTGGACATTTAGGTGCTTTCCAATTTTTTGCCATTATCAGTAATATTGTGATTAACTTCCCTGGACAAAAATCCTTGTACACATTTTAACTTCCTTAGGATCATCTCCTGAAGTGGATTCATTGGGTTAAAGAAAGGCTATGCCAATTTACAGTTTTATGAGCGATATAAGCGGGTACTTGTTTTCCCATACCCCTGCATATACTCAGTTTGGAAAAATACGGATTTCTAGGTCTCTACAAAAATGAAAATAAAATGTTTGTAAATTTTATATGTTAAAATGTCCACTTAACTTGTCATTTCAAAACTATTTTAATCAGTTAGAAAGACTTGTCTGTTACATTTGTACAAAAAGGAATTTGTGTTCCATTATACTGCAATGACTTCAGGGGTCTTGTCGGCTTGTATAGATATTCCTGAGTCAGAGCAGAAGTGCTCTTTCAGGGTTTTAAGTCGAGGTGTAGCAGAAGGGAAAAAGTGGAAAAGTTAAGAAGAAAATGTAGTATGATAGGAAATGGAGATGAAAAGAACAAGAGTGAGAAAGGGAACGGTGGAGGCATGAGAAGACGACTCCTGCCCCTACATGCTCTGCCTGAGCTTGTCCATTTTCTCATGTAGTCGCCCTGTCTGATGTCTTCCGTTCAAACATTTGGTGATTGCAGCTTCTTTTATCAGTAGAGGAGGAGATGAAAGAGCAAGCATAATTATAGGCTGAGAAGTCATTACGGGGGCCAAAATGAGAAATCAGCACAGAATTTTTTTTAAAAGGAAAATCCATGGGTTGTGATTTGTTAAGTCACCAGGGCTCTAGGACTCTGACCTTCCAACGTTAGTCATTCCTTCCTTGTAAACAGTTCCCTCCCTAGTTTTCTAACTGGTCATTGTGTTGTTAATAAACACAGCAGGGCCCTTCAAACCTCTCCAAAAAATCTGAGAATGAATTCAAATTCTAATCAGCAGCATTTCTGAGTGTTGAAGTGTAAATCAGCTGACTACTTATTTCCTTCTACCTTTTAGGTAGGTTCCTATTTAAGGGCACTCACTGGGCTAAAATTCAATTTAAATACTTTTCAGCGGTTTTTGGTTTTAAGATAACAGAAGAGGACTTTTCTCTGTGAGTGTTTAAGATTTAGAAAGCCAACAGTAGCAAGGGTTCCCTCTACTGACCAGAAAATGCCACAACCTAACTATGATACTGTTTTCAAGCTCTGAAACTGTCATTTGTTTTAAAAATCTCAGTTGGTCTAATTGTTTCCTATCTTTCATCAACTTATTTAGTGTCCTCATCAATTTCAAGTTAGTCAGAGACATAAATCCAAACATGCCACATAAAAATAGGAACAAAAATTAATAGAGTAATTTAAAAAGTAAATAATTTTCTATTTTTAAAAAGTAAGGCTGGAGTGGGGGACTTGGGGAGATGTTGCAGTTAGAAAATGAGTAGTTTCTGAGGATCTAATGCACAGCATTGTGATTATAATTAACAATACTATATTACGTATTTATGTATTATATATAGATCTTGAATGTTCTCACCATAAAAAATTGATAATTATGTGAGGTGATGGAGGTATTAGCTAGTGCTATGGTGGTAATCATACTGCAATATATGTATCAAATCAACACACTGTACCTTAAACTGACACAGTTTTATATGTCAATTATATCCAATAAAAATAAAAATTAAAAGCAAGTTAAAAAAAACCCCAAACAAACAAACAAAACATAAGGTAGACTAATGGATATCTATTTAACAGAGTATTGTCAACTTAAAAAACAAGAATCCATTAAAGACTTAAACATAAGACAAGAT